GGCAGCAACGGTTAACGCCCTTGGATTTCCACGTCACGGCGACCCCGTGTAACAAGTGAATGACAAGGATCGGTTGGATCTTTCAACCCGACGCACCCTTTTGACGCGACAGCGACGGTTGGTGTCGAGGGCGAGTCGTTGACGTCTCTTGCTACGCTTGAGTCATTACCACTGATCCTCTGGGAGGCAAAGTACAAAGTAAGACGGGTAAGTCGTCCAATTTACGCATTCGTTTGACATGTCGGCAACAGTCAACGCAATCGTTGTCGGTGCAACAACCAGCATCTGGTATACACAATCCTCACGAGTGAGGATTGTGTATAATGATGCTAATGGTGTGACCACACCGTCTGCGATCGTGTAATTGACGATCACACGCTTAGGAAGTGATGTTCTGTAGCTGGCGGGTCAAGAACCATTTATGGTAGAATAACAAACGCGCGGATCCTTCAGATTTTAGTTCCAGGAAAAAGAAGCGCCAGTGCAGTCATGCTATCGAGTTTGTAAAGTTGCAGTCATGATGCGTCTCGATAGTTCAAATACGCCGTTCGATATCAGCTGGATATGGCGGGCATCTCGCGTTAACCGTTGCTGCCGCGTCAAACAGATGCTTCAAGCTGCCGCCTCTGTTCCCCGTTGAGGTCATTGGTGATTACACTACACAATAGCCCAATCTTGAATTCGCTTTAGAACTTGTAGTCGACTGGGCTTGGGTTGTTCTGATCGCCAAATGCTGCATTTAATCGGGTCCTCTATACTCAACAAGTAGACATCACCCAGGACCGGAGTGATGCAAGAGAAGGAAGAAGATTTTTGAGAGCTGAGGCGAGTTGGCAGCGTTTGGGGTCGCATCTATTATCTCGCTTACTGCTCAGCCAATCAAACGTTTCTGGGCCGAGTAGGTATAGCCGTGTAATAAGATAATACATAGCAACTTTCAACTAGGTATTACAGGTCAACGGCGCAAGTCATAATTTAAGTGACACCCACTCTCGCAGCACAGAACCTTAACGGGAGATTTTTTGCTTTGTCTATCACAAATAAATTAAAATTTGTATCAACACAAGAGTGTCGTGAATTTCAAAATAAGCCAAATTTTTCTAATGCAATACTTTATGGCTTGCGTCACAAATACATCGTACAACCACAAAAGTATGTTATCAGGGCTAGCAGTGGACCTGACACAACATTGTTTCTGGTCAGTGCACTATTGTGATGTTAAATCCAAGATAACACTTATACCCAGTTAAATCGATCACGTGCATTCTTATCAGCGGCGATACGTTTCTAGTGCTCAGTCAGAAGGTAATCTTGACATTTTCTTGTTAGCCAAATGGAAACATTACTGCAACTTACACTTCATTTGGTGCACTGTGCAATCGATTCGTGATAATATCTAGTCCACCCAAACGTCCTGATATGATGAAGACTTGCTTGGAGCTACCAAAAGGTGTACCTCTAAAATACTCTATTCTAAACATTGACAGATATGTGTCCATAAAAATTCCGCTGGCTTCGAAAAGCCTTGACCACACCCATCCAAGTCTGTCAAGAGCGCTGAGCTCGTTGACTTCGATTTCAGTCATGACATCATTTTAGCGGGCGCTTATACAATGCGTCATTCTGAGTTCGCGAAGAACATTTTGAAGAAGCTCGGCATGGATAACAGCGTTCCAGTCAGAACTCCACAAGTTAATGGTCTCAGGTTGACGAAAAAATTGTGAAATCGGCTGCAGCCACAGCAAGGAAATGGCAAATGTGCCTTACCGCAATGTAGCTGGCTGTTTGACGAATCTTATAGATGGGACTCAGCCAGACCTCGCGGCTGCATTGGGAGTACTGAGCTCATTTGCTTCTGATTCATGCCCACCGCACTGACATGCACGTCAGAGTTTGTTTCTCTACATTTGATTAGTGATAAATTATGGCATCAGACTCTGTGAGTCAGCTGAAGACGAGATATCGGGTCATTCGGACGCAGATTGGGCTGGCGACGCTGAAATCTGGCGAAGTACAAGCGGACACGCTTTTATGATGAGCTCCGGTTGCATTAGCTGGAGAATCAGGAAGCAGTGAGCAGTGGAGCTTTCATCAACAGAAGCAGATACATGGCGTTGGTAGAAGCTGTCCAAGGGGCTGTTTGGCTCAAAACATTTCTGTTTGAGCCAAGGAAGATGAACTTGGTGAATTGCTTTAAATTTACATAATCAAGGCTCAATTGCTTTGACCAAGAATCTTGAGTTTCACAAGAGAATCGATATCTGCTATCATTTTGTGCGTTCGAAGCTCGAGGATAGCCGACGGGTGCTGTAATACTGCTCAATCAAAGACATAAAGGATGACGTGATGACCAAGCCAGTCACTGCTGTACAGTTTCGATACTTGTGTGATATTTTGGGCATTAGAGTGTGTTTGCGTAATATCATCTCTCCGAGAGTTTTCGCGTCGAATTTCTTGAAGTTCAAAAGTTCCATGACACGCAAAAAGCCTATCGCTCGACAGCAGAAAGATTTCGCAACTTGCAATACACTTTTCCGATCTCGTGACTTTCGTCGTAAAATACATTTACCAGATAATGAGTAAGTCACAACTCGGTAGCAGTTGGCTTGACATAACATTTTATCTGATCAGCAAATATTCTTTACCATTTCTTTAGAAACGTTTCTTTCAATCGATTTGCGCAATCGCGAGCCCTACAGCTTCACTTAAAAAGCTGGTCATCATTTTTAATACCGACAATTCCTTTTATAGGTCATTGAAAGAGCACTTCGTGACTTGATAATATACTGTGTCTGTCCCTCGACTCGCTGTGCTGTGCCACATTATTTGTACCTATCATTATGCAACGGCGACCACGAAAGCTGAGAAATCACAATTAAAAGCACCCTTCTAATGACATTTAAATTAATAAGATAAGCGATTATCAACTCTTGAATTGACATGGGAGGGGTTTAAGAATTAGGTGACAACGGCTTGTCATTTTCAATTTTTCGAGCTTGCAAGCCAATTGAAAACCCAGACGCCAAACGGCACTCGTTTTAAAGCTCAATGCGCGCCGTCGCCGTCGATGCGAGTAGTCATTCTGCCACTATTTCATAGTTGAATCAGTCTTGCACATATACTCATGAGCGTACTGATACAGCTACCGACCAAGTGCCAATCTTGGAATATGACTAATCCACTCTTCGCCCTAAAGCACGGTTTTTCATGCTTCCGCCCCATACCTGAAAACTCGATGGCGTAGGGTGTGTCTTGTTTTAAAAGCCAATGGGCCTCATAAGAGGGGAACACCCAAACAACTCCGATTTCCTAAAGTAAGGATAACCCTTGCATTTTACCAAAGCGTTGTCATAGCTGGAAATCTCTCCACATCGATATTGTCATGCTAGTCGATCAGCACCTGTGGAAGACGGCCCTCGCTTGATTATGATCTTTAAGAGCGTGGAAACTGCTCACACATCCAAATAACTCATAAATCACAAAATGTGTTATAACATTCTAAAAAGGTTATGTGTTAAACATATTTTTTTTTTCAATATGGCAGATAAGTAGATTAATTGCGTTTAATATACTTAAGTATAGTATGGGCAAGAAAATGTCTATGTAGCAGCTACATATTGAGCTTTAAGGAAGACAAGCAACCACCAGACAAAAATTCAGTTTGTATCCGTTTCGACATCCGATAAAATTTGACTTAACGTTCTACTACAGACGACAGGCTCAGAGATAGCACATAATAGTGAGTTTTGGACCTTAACATATTTACTTTGCCTCTTTCTAACCACTGCTCAAATACATTTCAATCGCGCAAATGTTGCCGTTAGAATAGTTCCACTATGTCACAAAGTGTTCAGCTGTTCAAAATGCATTTTTATTATTCAGCTTTGATAAGTAGCTAGAGTACCACTATTGACGAGAAGTTTTGTAAGTGGAGCTCATGCTATTCTGCATCACGTTCTCTTGCAATGATTCTTCATCAGCGTTGAGATTTGACCTTACAGCCACACTTTATTTCCATTCTCCACGAATTAAAGAAAGCTTGCAACTACTTATTAGCCTTTGTTTTAACTCAAATACCTACTGCCTACTTAAGCACACCGACCAGCCATTGTACAGCTGGCTTTTAGACTGTGATGGTGCGTTTAAAAACGCAAAAGGATCGATCTAGCGAAGATGTTCACGACGATCACGACAATAATGATGAAATCAGCAAGGAATGTGATGAACTTTATTAGAACGACGATTCTGGATATAATAAAAGCCCTTGTCGAGTTGTAACCCTGACTATGTTTATGCGATAATGGTACATGCAGCAACTTCAATCACAGATAATTTCCTAATATATACTTAGAAGCCGAGAGCCGGACTTGTTGACGCGTGGCGTGAAAACCCTTTCATTAATTTAACATCTAAAATGAATACTGTAAAGATACGCTGAGTTTGAAGGTACTGACACTCATGGAGATGTTAATGATCCTCACTTTGAAATTAACTCCATCAAGACTTCACTAAAATGTCCGGCCTCAGCTCACCTAAGCCCTTGCGCGTCGGGATCTTAGGCGCTGGGCGGATTGCCAAAGTTCATGTTCAGAGTCTTCAACGCATCGGCGCTGACATCGTGATTGTAAGATGGTCGCGTCGTACACTGCTGCTTAAAGATGGCTCACATAATCACATGCTGCCAGGTAGATTGCTGACCCTATAGGTAACGTTGCAGAAACTGTGGCAGCAAACTTTCGCATCGCATCCTGGACCAAAAACGTTTCTGAAGTCTTTCAAGCCGACATTGATGCCGTTGTCATCTGTTCTCCGACTGCTTTGCACGCCGAACAGATTATCGAGGCGGCACATTACAAAAAGCACATATTTTGCGAGAAACCATTAGACTTGAACCTTGAGGTAGTCGACAAGGCCATTAAGGCGGTGCGTGACTGCATAAAAAATGTTGTAGAGACCGGAACTAATAGATAGTATTTTTTGCTTTATTTAGGTCAGCGACGCTGGCGTGAAGCTTGTGATCGGATTCAACCGTCGCTATGATTCTAACTTTCTTCGTATCAAGAAAGCCATAAATTGCGAAGAAATCGGCAAAGTGAACATGCTCCGCATTACCAGCCGCGACCCCGAACTCCCACCGATCGAGTACATTAAGGGATCGGGTGGCATTTTCTGTGATATGACAATCCATGACTTCGACATGGCGCGTTTTTTGATCGGTGGTGAGGTGGATGAAGTTTTTGCTATGGGCCACAGCAATAACCCTGAAGTTGCAGCTGTGGGCGACATTGATACGGCTGTGATTTTACTTAAGTTCTGCAATGGCGTCATCTGTAACATCGAAAATAGCCGTGAGGCGGTATTTGGCTATGACCAGCGCGTTGAGGCGCTTGGATCGAAGGGTTCAGTGTTATGTGACAATAATTACGAAAATCAGGTGGTGTTGTCGACGAAAGAAAACGTGCATCGTGACTTGCCTCAACGCTTCATCGTCGAGCGTTACATGGATGCTTATGTTGCTGAGATGGAGGCATTTGCTCGAGTTTGCACTACAGACGCACCATCTCCTGTCGGGGGCGAAGCTGCTCGCGATGCTCTATTATTGGCTCTCGCCGCGAGCAAGTCCCTCGCGGAGAATCGCCCAGTCAAGGTCGACGAGATACGCAAATCTACTTAAAACTGGTTGAGTGTCGTGGTCGACTGCCATCAAGTGTTCTACTATTGTTCAACAGATGACACTTCGTTAACATGTTTTGTAGGGAACTAGGTACACTTGTTAACAAGGGATTTTCTGAGCATAATTAGATTACCGAAAAAGTCAGTCAGTTACTAATGTTTTGACCTAAAGTTGTCTGTCGCCTGTTCAATAAGTCCATGTATACAAGTCGCAGTGCCTTTAGGCCAACTTCGACGCAACTACGTCTCCCGACGGATCGGATTCTTCCTGATTGGGTCTTGTTTGGCAAAAAAGCTATTCGCCATTCAGTTGGTTAGATTTACTTTCAGTACTTTAAATATAGAAACAATTCTACTATTACGCAGAGGATGGATGGGCTCAAGCGCACCACCTAGAAGTAGCGCAGAAAGCCCTTGCTATAATCAGAATTTAGAATCTTAGATTGTTTTTGAATTCACATTTACTTTATAGTATGTTTAGTATCTACAAACATGAAACTTGCGTGATGTCCAGCGTGACAAAGACCCCCATATGTCTCGCTCCCCTCTCATTCCCCCAGTCACATTGCTTCATCCGTAACATTACTGATTATGATACTTCATCATTGCAACAAAGTTGTCGTGCACCTTGTACAAAGAAGTTTTGATTCATCGAGGCGCGTTAACAAGAGTTTTGAATTTGAACCGAAGAATTTATTAGCCTTGGTTAAGGTACTAACTACTCTTGGAGATAGCGAATTGCGATCCGCTACACTCGTATTGGTTCTTGTAAAGACAAAAGGTCGGTGACCTAAAGCACGCTTCCTCAAGCGTTTTGCTACGGCAGCCCTGCTGCACTTGGTAGCACTTGTAGTCAATCTACAACTGAGTCGTTTAGACAAATCCTCGGTGAGGATAGAAGAATTTTCCTCTTTGCCCCAGGGCATGCAGGACGGGCTTAACAAGTTGATGTCCTTACTTGGCTCTGAGGGCGTGCAACACCTTGTGGTGTAAGGCCCCGAGGCAATCGATGCGCGTCTAGAGGTGTTTTCAAACTACAAAAATGCGCTGCTAAAGCACCTGCAGCAGAAAATGTCTGCATCACTTGCGTCTATGACGCCACCGTCAGTGACGGATGATTTCCCCCGCCCAAAGTCGATCATGGTGAGCGTTAAGGTCTTTGAGGGGAAAGATGTA